AAAAAAAAGAAAAGAAAAGGAGGTTGTAGTTTCTTCACTCTCATACATTTCAATAGTGAGATCTAATTTCTCAAATATACTACTTGTACATTCTCAAAGGAAAACTTAAAAAATAGCCTTTCCATTTGGTTTTCTTCTGCACGTTTACATTTAGATGGAACAAACACCCTGTTTGTCAAAATATATTAAGAAATTGCCAAGCACCCTAACACTGGCCACCTGTTTGCTAACAGAAATAAACTGTTTATATGGAAAGAACAAAGTCTTGAGAAAAATCTTATGCTCAGTTACAATTGTGTGGTTTTGACTTTTTAAAAATTCTGGGACTCAAGTAAATTAAAAAAAAAATCTCAAACTAGAACTCTAAACAGTTCTTAAAGAGCTCATGATGAACCCAACATCTCAAATATAAAGAGCAGCATGGTTGCAATTTATGCTCTCTTAAGCCACAAATTTGCATTTCGAACCCTTAATAAAGATACTAAACAGAATGTAGACCCATTTAACTTTCTCTAAAATGAGGTCTGAATAAACATATTTCAACATGATGCTGAACCAGGAACTTGGGGCATTCAGAGCTAACCCATTTTACAAATCAGTTCTTAAATTTTTAAGAAGGGGACTGATCATCCTAATATCAATGCAAAGAAGGTATTTTGCTAGTATTTTAGTTAGGCAATTAAAGCACTAAGCCAAAAAAATTTGCTTTATTCCATCTATACATTTTTACTATGTATCTAGTCATATAAATTATTACAATGACAAATAATGAGAAAATTTATATATAAAAATTCAAAATAGAAATAATACCTCTGAACTTTCCAAGAACTGCCTTAAATCAGGATCCTGTAGTAAAGTTGGATGTTTCACTGTTCTTTGAAGATACCTATATTTAAGAGTAAAATTACTCCTAGTAGCATTTTAAATCTTATTTCAACAAAATAATAAAAAAACCAAAAAACTGGTTTAAAAGGTGTTTTCAGTCTACCTCCTATCAGTTTGCCCTTACTGTAATTATTTAGGCTCTTATAGCAATTTAATAATTAAAAAGCTTTTTATTCATTTTTGAAAATTGATATGCTATCCCCTGTCATAATTATATAAAAAGAGAAATGGCCTGGGGGTGGAAATGGGAACAGAGAGGGTTAATAACTTACCAAACTTCTCACTGCAAAATATTAAAGTTGTAAAATGGTATATGAGTCTGTTGAATCATTTAATCTTTGAGTAGTGTATGTTCCAGTTGTAATTTTAGAGTTCTAAGACACATATCTCTATGTGTATTCTATTCAAAAAAGTTATAAATTGCCACTATCACACAAATGGGGAGAAGCCTAGAAATGTTTTTGCTTGTCAGCAGATTTAAATGATGACAATTGATGACAATCAGCTTTGGACTAAATTCTCTTAAATATTTCTTTTTCTTTTTCTTTTTTTTTTTTTGAGACAGAGCCTCAAGCTGTCACCTTGGGTAGAGTGCCGTGGCATCACAGCTCACAGCAACCTCCAATTCCTGGGTTCAAGTGATTCTCCTGCCTCTGTCTCCGAAGTAGTTGAGACTATAGGCGCCCACCAAAATGCCCAGCTGTTTTTTTGGTTGCAGCCATCATTGTTGTTTGGCAGGCCAAGGCTGGATTCGAACCCACCAGCTCAGGTGTATGTGGCTGGTGCCTTAGCCGCTTGAGCCACAGGCACCGAGATTCTCTTCAATATTTCTTTTCTTGGCTCAGTGCCTGTAGCTGGGCAGCTAGGGCGCCAGCCACATACACTGGAGCTGATGGGTTCAAACCCAGCCTGGGTCTGTGAAACAATAATTGACAACTACAACCAAAAAATAGCCAGATGTTGTGGTGTGTGCCTGTACTCCAAGCAACTTGGGAGCCTGAGGCAAGAGAATCACTTGAGCCCAAGAGTTTGAGGTTGTTGTGCCACAGCGCTCACTGAGGGCAACATAGTGAGACTCTGCTGTGAGCTATGATGCTATAGCACTCTACCGAGAGTAACATAGTGAGACTCTGCTTCACAAAAAAAAGAAAAAAATATTTGCTGCCTCTACTATGAAACCAAAAATGAGCTGCAGTAAGACTAATCCTTTAAGATGAGAAATGGTGGCATTTCCTACTGGAATCTGACTTATAATTTCAACACTGAAATTCTTCCAACAGTACTAGATAAGTTAGTTTGTGGACTGAATACTATATATGAAGGCAGTTGGCATAAATTGTTCATCTCTGGGCATACAATAGCTGGGTACTTGGATATCTGTATAGTAAACAAACAGGAGGAACATCTAGTACCCAACCTTTATGAAATATTCCAATATTTCAAATGTAAATGGAAATACCTAATATCATGTATACTCTAAAACAGCTTTTCAAAATGAGTACTGGAGAGTATCACTCTCATGTAATATTCCATGAAAGAGAATACTTCCATACTCAAGAAAGTCCAAAGTCTTAGATATCCCTCTAAGTTAGTTTTTGGTTTGGTTTTGTTTTTTTGAGACACTCTGTTGCCCAGACTGGAGAGCAGTCCTATCATAGGTCAGTGTAGCTTTGGCAAGGCTTTTTTACAGTTATGTAAAAAAATGCACATATTCATATATATGTGTGTTACAAAATGCTAAAATTAAGAACAGAAACATAAAATGGATTTTAAAACAGTAATATTTATAAATATACATCAATTCAGAATTAAGAACATAGAAGTAGATACATAAAGAATGGATACAGGTAAAAAGAATGTAGGAATAAGACATAAATAAGAGGCCTGGGAAGAAACAGAAAAACTGAGATGGAAAGTAGAAAACTGATGGGTGTGGTGGCTCATACCTGTAATCCCAGCACTCTGGGAGGCCCAGGGGGGCAGATTGCCTGAGCTCAGGAGATGAAGATCAGCTTAAACTATAGCAAGTCCCCACCTCTAAAAAAAAGCTGAGTGTTGTGGCAGACATCTGTACTCCTAGCTACTTGGGAGGCTAAGGCAAGAGAAAAGCTTGAGCCCAAGAATTTGAGGTTGCTGTGACCCATGACACCACGGTACTCTGCTGGGGGTGACAAACTGAGACTCTGTCTCAAAAAAAAAAAAAAAAAGAAAAGAAAAACTGAAGACAGAAATGGAACATACATTTATTGAAATGATGAAAGTATTATACCTACTAAAGTAGCTGAACTTCCTCAGATTTGCTTTGAATAAAGCAAATTTACTCAAATTTACTCTAAATTTAGAAGAATCATTTAGGGCTTTCAAATTTCTGTTTATTTACTAAACTCAGAACAAAACAAAACAGTTTATTAGGGCGGTGCCTGTGGCTCAATGATTAGGGCACCGGCCCCATATACCGAGGGTGGCAGGTTCAAACCTGGTCCTGGCCAAACTGCAACAAAAAAATAGCTGGGCACTGGGGTGGGCGCCTGTAGTCCTAGCTACTAGGGAGGCTGAGGCAAGAGAATTGCGTAAGCCTAGGAGTTGGAGGTTGCTGTGAGCTGTGTCACACCATGGCACTCTACCAAGGGCGATGAAGTGAGACTTCGTCTCTACCAACCCCTCCCCCTCAAAAAAACCCAGTCTATTAAAATGTTTGAGAGCAACAAAGTTAAAAAATATTTTTCTCTTGTTTGAAACTCAAACATAAGTGTCCACAATGAGAAAATAGAAAGGCAGGAAGACACTGGGTACTTGATGACATTCATTTGTTCATTTCACAAATATTTACTAGGGTGTGCCTTTAGCTCAGTGGGTAGGACACTGGCCACATTCACCAAGGCTGGCGAACCCGGCCCAGGCCTGTTGAAACAATAATGACAACTGCCAACAACAGCAAAAATAATAGTGGGGTATTGTGGTGGGCACCTGTGGTCTCAGGTACTTGGGAGGCTGAGACAAGAGAATTGCTTAGGCCTAGGAGTTTGAAGTTGCTGTGAGCTGTGATGTCATAGCACTCTATCCAGGGCAATAGCTTGAGACTCTGCCTCAAAACAAATAAACAAACAAAAACCCCACAAATATTTACTGAGCTCTTCATATATATCAGTTACTGTTTTGAGTACTTGAAAAACATCAATAAGTAAAGGAGACCAAGATCCCTTCCTTGGTGGAGCTTATATTTTAGTACAAGCGGATAGGTAACATACTATAAATAATAATCATATAAATTATGTGACATGGTAGCAAGTGGTATGAAAAAAAGGACAGAACAATAGGGAAAATGGGACCCAGTATGTAAGATGTAGTTGATGGTTTAAACAGGGTACGTTGGAATTAAGCCAACAATCAGAATAAGCTTCACTGGAAAGGTGATTATTTGAACATCTGAACCTGAAAAAGGAATGAGAGTCAGCCATGCAGATACCTGGGAACAAAGCATTCCAGGCAGGGGGGACAGGGGTAAAGAGACTCTAAGGTAGGAAAACACCTGGTATATCTGAGAAGCAGCAAAAAGATCAGCATAGCCTAGGGCAGAGTGAGTGATTAAAGAAGATATGAGATCAAATGGGTAACAGTGGTACTGGTCATGTAGTCTTATAATCCATTATAAGGATTCTGGCTTTTATGGAGTGAAATGGGGGTATGTGTGATATGATCTGATTTATGTTTTAAAAGGATTACTCTAGCTTCTATATTAAAAAGGAGTAGAAGTGCCAAGAATGGAAGAAGAAGACCAATTAGGAGGCCACTGCAGTTAATTAAGGCCTTTGGACTAGTAGTCAGTAGGCTGTGAGAGAACTGGTTGTGTTTCAGATATAAGAAGGGAGCAAAAGAATTTCCTGATGAATTAGATAATCTTCAACAGCTTCTTACTCGTAACTAACTTACTCTTAACTAATCTACATGAACTGTGTAAGCATTCTAGTTGAGTTTTTAGGTTGAAATGAACACATTCCTAACTGATACACTTATACTTTAAACATAAAGAATGTGGGTACATAACTTGCTCCAGTGTGTAGTGTTAGGTGCAAGTGAAGTCTTGTATATTGTTAGTGCTCCTCTAAATTTCTCATTTTATATTTGCAGAAGTATATCTTTATGTATAAAATAAACTCAATATGATCTCTCAGGAAAAGCAAAGTGATCTCGGGGATACTCTGAACAGAAGTAGTGCCCTTACCGACTATGGAACTTATGTACTTAATTATTCCCTATATCTTCTTAGCTTTTGTGCTAAGATAGTCACCTGGATTCTCTAAGTTAAGCAAACAAATAAATATGTAAATAAATATCATAGTATTAAAGCAATACAAAGAAAAGTACTTCCCAGACCCACCAATCCAAGGTCAGGTATCCCACAGATAAGCCTGTTCCAATGTTTTAAATGGAAGAAATGCCACAGAAAAATCTCTTTAGAAAAGTGGGCTATATGAAAAGGTAAGAAAAATGCAGTTTTAAAAACTTGTATGCAGCCTAGGCAATATAGCCCAGTCTCTACAAAATAATAAAAAATTAAAAATTAGCCAGGTGCAGAAGCATAAACCTGTAATCTCAGTTACTTGGGAGGATGAGGCAGGAGGTCACTTAAGCCCAGGAATTAGAAGTTGCAGTGAGCTATGACTGTGTTCTAGTACAGGCAACAGAGCAAGACTCCATCAATCAAAAAAATTATTTTTAAATAAAATTTTGCACAAGTTTTTATAAATATGCACAAGAACTGATTAAAACTGGCTGGGAAAGGAGAATTAGATTAAAACTAAAGAAATCATTCTAATTCCTTTATGCCATACTTTCTATAATCATTTTTTCTAACTGAAAATGAACTTTTCCTCATTATCATACCGTTCTTTTTTCCCACTAATATTTGTCAGTAAAGAAACTTCAATTTTCTTTTAAAATTCCTCTCCACATTTCCTACTTCATGAAGGTATGGTAAGTGCTATGCAATTCAGTCAAGTTGGAAGAAAGGTGAATGTAGAATCAAATTATATGTCCTTGGTACAATAAATCTTCATTAAGTTTCTTATCAAGCATGCCATCTAAAATATTTCAAACCTACTCATAGAAAAATAAGACTTGAAAGGTCTCTCAAAGGGTCATGGTTACACTTTCAGGAAGGACTTAAGCGAAATCAAGGCAGAGCATGATGTACCTTTATTCTTAAAAATATTCAGTCTGTGACCACTCTTACAACAGAATCAATTCAAACGCCTAACCTAAACTTCTCTTCATGCAATTTCAATCCTTTGCTGATTCTCACACATAAGCCCATATTTTAAGTATTTTTTTTAATTGAATGATAACTATGTATATTAATGCACTTCTGGGGAACAGTGTGGGGTTTTCACACACAATCCGAAACACTTCCACCAAACTGGTTAAGATAGCCTTCATGTCATTTTCTTTAAGTATTTTTTAAAATAAGATTTTTTTTTTGAGACAGAGTTTCATTATGTTGCTCTTGGTAGAGTGCTGTGACATCACAGCTCATGGCA